TATATATTATATATATATATATATATATATATATATATATATATATTTTACTGAAATATAACTGTCTCCGCATATTATGTTCTATTCTTGAGCATCTGTATAACTTGTAAAATGTATTGCAAAATTTCTTTGGCTCCAGACATACGAACACTTAAACTTGTGTATGACATTACTCACAAGTAGTTCCATTGATGCCAAATGAGGTTTCTCACATCAGCAAAATTATGCATACACTTAAGTGTTTGTAAGACTAGGGCCTTAGTTTTTACAAAGAGGTGTCCTGTCCAGCAATCTTGGTGATGTAGGGCAGTGGTTTTCAAACTGCTGGAACGCGGAATGTAAGGCACTGGGTCACAGCGGTTCTGGTCAGTGCTGCCGAAAGGGCCGTTAAAAGTCCCGTCGGCGGTGCTGCCCGGCTAAGGCAGGCTAGTTCCTACCTGTTCTGACACTATGCTGTGCCCCAGAAGCGGCCAGCAGCAGGTCTGACTCCTGGGGAGCAGAGGGGGGGCACGGGGCTCCATGTGCTGCCTGAGCACAGGCTCTGCACTCCCATTGGCCGGTGCCTGCGGGCGAGAGCCACGCGGAGCCACTTGCGCCCCTCCACCTAGGAGCCGGACGTGCTGCTGGCCATTTCTGACATCGCAGACTGCGCTGCACCCTAGGACAGGCAGGAAGCCTGCCTTAGCACCCCCTCTGTGCTGCTGACCAGGAGCCTCCTGAGATAACCCCATGCCCCAATCCCTAGCCCTGAGCCCCCCCAAACCTGGAGCCCATTCATGCACCCCTAATCCCTGGCCCCCTCCTGCACCTCAGCCCTGAGGCCCTCCCACAGCCCAAACCCCTCATCCCCCAGCTCCGTTTGGTTGCAGGTATCAACAATTTTCTTCAGTGGTTTTCAAACTTTTTTTCTGGCAACAGTTGATGATGGGTGAAGAGGAATACCTTTTCTGTCCCAGAGAGTTGGGAACTATCCTTGTCTTAATTTTGCTCTCCTGTTTTGGCTTTGTTAATGTGATGTCCAACTGAAGTCTTGACCACTTTTTTTTTTCTAGGCAAAATTCATTTTCAGTATTTGGCTTGTGGTCATGCACTGGACTGGAACTCAGGAGATCTGGGTGCTATTGCTGGCTCTGCCACAGACTTCTTATGTGATCTTGCTCAATTCAGTTTATCTCTGTTGTCTGGGTTCCCCACCTATTAAATGGTGTAATAGTACTTCCTTTGTCTGTCTTGTCTAGTTAGATTAATAGAATCAGAGGGTTGGAAGGGACTGCAAGGATCATCTAGTCTGACCCCCTGCCAAGATGCAAAACTTGTTGCGTCTAAACTAGAGACCCCCCCCCCCCCGAGGAGCATGGAGTAATGTTTGAGGGGGTGAGGTTGGGGCCCAGACCAGCCCACACAAGGGAAAGGAAGGGAGTGTTGCCCCGTGCCTGGGGACCCAGCCGCCGGCCCCATTACACCTGTCCACATCCCCCCCCCCTCCTGGAGCTGTGGCCTGGCTCCTTGCGGAGGTGGGGTATACAGGGATAAGGAGGGACGCAAGGTAAAAGGTTTAGGGACCACTGGTCTAATCCATCCAAGACAGATGGCTATCCAGCCTCCTTTTGAAAACCTCCAGTTAAGGTGTTTCCACAATCTCCAGAAGCAATCTGTTCCATTGTCCTATTCTTACGGTTAGAAAGTTTTTAGTGAGATTTAATCTAAATCTGCTAGGCTGTAGTTTAAACCCATTGCCTCTTGTCCTTCCTTCTATGGCAAGAGAAAATAACTTTTCTCCATCTTTTTTATGGCAGCCTTTCAAGTATTTGAAGACTGCTGTCATGTCCCCACCTTAATCTCCTCTTTTTCCATACTAAACGTACCCAGTTCCTTCAGTCGTTGCTCATATGGCTTGTGTTCCATCCCTTTGGTCATCTTTCCAGCTTCTCTACATCCTTTCTATATAGTGGTGACCAAAATTGGACACAGTACTCCAGCTGAGGCCTAACCAGCACAGAGTAGAGCAGTACTATCACTTCCTGTGACTTGCATGCTGTGTCTCTGTTAATGCAACCTAAGATTGTAAACTCTAAAATGAAGACACAGGTATAATTTGTGAAGTCACTTTTTAAAAACAAACAAACAAAGGCAAAAATAGTTAAAACTTAAAAATTGGACGGTAACAGGCTGTGAACCCAGAGATAGTGGAACCTAGTGATATTCTAACAAAGAGCTCACAACCTTTAATGGGCAGCAGGTTTAAAACAAATAAAAAGAAGTTCCTCTTCACACAGCGCACAGTCAACCTGTGGAAACTCCTTGCCTGAGGAGGTTGTGAAGGCTAGGACTATAACAGGATTTAAAAGAGAACCAGATAAATTCATGGACGTTAAGTCCATTAATGGCTATTAGCTAGGAAGGGTAAGATGGTGTCCCTAGCCTCTGTTTGTCAGAGAGTGGAGATGGATAGCAGGAGAGAGATCACTTACCTGTTAGGTTCACTCCCTCTGGGACACCTGGCATTGGCCACTGTCGGTAGACAGGAGACTGGGCTGGATGACCTTTGGTCTGACCCAGTATGGCCATTCTTATGTTCTTATGTAACCTTGCTTATAGCTGTTTCCATTGCTTCACGCTGAGCTCAGGTCTACAAAAAGTTAAGCTGACCCAGCTATGTCTTTTTGGGTGTGAAAAATCCATGCCCCCTGAGCAACATGGTTAAGCCAGCCTAATCCCTGGTGTAGACAGGGCTAAATTATGGAAGAATTCCGTGAACCTATCTACCACCTCTTGGGGAGATAGATTAACTATATTGACAGGACAATCCCTCCCACTGTTGTAGTAAGTGTCTATGCATAACTGTAGTGTTTCAAGGGAAGGCAGTGTTTTTTTTTTAGAGATGGAGGATCTATGATTAAAAACTTCTTTGCAAATGATTTAATAGCTGATTAAAAACACTGTGGATTTTAGTAATGTCCAACTTGCCTTGTAGTTATGAAGAGCATTCAACTCATCACATTGAGATAGATGGGAGTTACTCAAGCATTCATTTATTCTTTTAAACTCTAAAACAGAAGAAAAAGTCTCCTATTTCCACAATTAAACAAATACAATGGATTAATGAAAAGAGACCCTAGTTTCACTGCTTGCCTGCCCGGAGGCTGCCCAATCAGAGAGCCAAGAAGCCTGGGCGGCTGGCCTCTGCTCCCAGCTGGGAGCAAGGAGCAGAGACCCTGGGGGGGCAGTTGGGCTCCCAACAGTGAGCTGTGCTCTTATTGCCCCTGTTCAGTTGGTGGAAGCGCTCCTGCTGAGGATGCACATCGCTGACAGAAGGAGGATAGTATGGACATCAGCCACTGCAATAATTACTGTAGTGGCCCTAATATAGGTCGACTTACGGCTGTAGTGTAGACATTCCCAAACTCTGGATATCCCTTCCAATATTTAAAACTTGCTATAATCTACAATAACACTCAGCTGCTTAAATTGATGGCAGTTTAGTCTACTTGCCTTCCAAAACACAGTTTCAGACTTACCACAAGTTAGAAGAATTAATGTAGCTTGTATAGTTATTGGATAAACTGATTTTAGATTGAACTGTAATTTTATTCAGTTCTTTATACTGCCATCCGTATATTTTACACATTTATTTGCTGGTCTGCATTCTAAACTTGGTATGTCTCATACTCGCTTATTCATCCGTGAACAAGCCCTACCTGTTTGTTAAATACAGTATATAAAGTAGTCTTGCAATTCTGTTTGATGAATGTGTTTTGTGGAGTGGCTGGGAGGTTGAGTGAATAAATAGGAGTGTCGTGTTTTGTTTTGTTTTGTTTTTTTTTTCTTTCTCCCCTCATCATGGTAAAAGGTGGTATGTAGGGGTTTTGGTTTTTCTTTTTTTTTTAGCATAGGCTGGTAAACTTGCATGACAGGCTTGCAAGGTTTATGAAGTATATCTTGTCTGAATGAATAAATACAGTATATAACTTGGTCTCCAGATGAAGCCAAGAATATATATCCCTCGATGCAAGGTTGGGAAAAGTTTGCTCAAGAGCCACATCTAATTTTCATATACTGGAACAGAGATGCAGCCTGTGGAGACTACACATTCCAGGATGCAAAGCTTGATCCTGAATCAAGTTGCCTAGCTAGATCACTTCAAAGATCTGAGCTGCCTAGCACTTCCCCCTAAAAGATAAGGGGATAGCCATGGGCTCTGTTGTAGATGTCTGAGGTCCTCCTATTGGCAATCACTGCCTCTTGCTTAATGTAGCTGGTAAAAAATTTACCCCATTGCCTTCTTCATAGAGTCTGAGAGAGATTTTAAGAAGCTTATTTGTTAAGTTAATTTTACTGTATGAGGCATTTAGTTAGGAAGGCGTATTTAAGTGGGATGTCTGGGAAGCTTCCAGGTTATGTTTTCTCACATCTGAAGTTCAAGAACCAAGAAGGTGGCAGAGGTAAAAGACATAGAAATCAGAAAAGGGGGAAAAATATGGGCCAAGTGGAATGGGAGAAGTGGGCAGACTGTTAACTTTAGAGTAATAACTGGTAAAAACAAATAAGTAGTCTAATTATATTTTACTTGTGTTTATTTTTAAGAGATGAAATTGGGTTAATACCCTGTCCTGAAGCCAGGTATAACCGGAGCCCTATAGTCCTCGTAGAAAACAAGCTTGGCGTGGAGAGTTGGTGTGTCAAGCTTCTTTTGCCATATGTCCACAACAAACTCCTCCTCTATAGACAAAGAAAGCAATGGCTGAACAAAGATGGTAAGTTACTTGGTTGACTGAATTCCTGTATGTTTCCTAGTATATAGTTTTTGATCATCTCTGATACAACGCAGTCTACTTTAAATGTATACTTGGTAGTGTATTGGAATAACCTAGTGAAATGGGGAGGGGGAGAGGAAATTGCAAGTTGTTTCTACCTAGTTGAGATTCCAACTCCTTTTTTGTCCCCAAGCTGTAAGTGGTGTAGAGAGAAGCTATTCCTTTGCCTAATTCAGGAGAAATGTTACTGTGTTGGGAGGAAATTTTATCTAACTCTCCTTGGCCAGGAGACTGGTGATATATAGCTCTTGGTGGAAGAGGAGTGAGGGGTTTTCAAGGCTTATAGGACCCAAGGGGGAAATCGTTTATATAAACAAATCGATATTCTAGGGCTCCTGTTTACTTTACTAACTCACTTTCGCAAATTTCTAAAGATATTGCTGACTTTGAATAGTTTTCACAGCCCTTTTCCTAAAAAGGATGTTAAGTTCTGCTTCATTTGTGGGAGTATAAGTTAGAGAGGAGGGATAGCTATGAAATTTGACAAATGACTTTTATGGATAAAATCACTATTTTTCTGTAAGACAAAGTTGTGTTTTATGTAAGCTATGGATGAAGGGTAAGATCTGTCTGAGCAATGTGAAATTTCCCATTGTTATTCCATTGAAACATAGACTTGTCTCTCTGTGAAAAACTGAAAATACCATATACCTCTTGTAAATGGACTGAAAACTCTGTTCAGTAGATTGGTACAGCAGCGTGGATGTTACCACCACAAATCTATTGCATTGTGGAGGGGTGGGTGGGAGAACCTCCTTCGAGTCACAGGATCATGCTAGTATCAGAGGGGTAGCTGTGTAGTCTGAATCTGTAAAAAGCAACAGAGGGTCCTGTGGCTCCAATACTTCTGTTAATCTTAAAGGTGCCACAGGACCCTCTGTTCCTTTTTATAGGATCATGCTAATATACTTTAAAAAATGTGAACAAGAAAGGAAAGGAGGACTGTGTTGAAAATGCTTTGCTACAGTGGCACGAGAATACTCAAACATCTTATAGGTCTATCATCATATCACACAATAGACTTATAAGATGCACCCTTTCCTGCCCCAAAGCCGTGGAAAATAGAAGTGCGTTGCAGCATACCCTCATGGCCAATGGATTTGAGCTGTTTCAAACCAAAGGGTACATTGAACTCCAAAGTCCGTGGCCCCTCACAGATCGTGCCTTGCTGTCAGCACCCTCTCAGTCCTGGTGATTGTAGCTGTGACAAGATTACATGGGCACAAAGGCAACCTTAGGTAGGTTCTGAGATATTTTGGGCTTTTTTAGGTTAAAACCATTACCTTTAAATGACACTGGGAAACCAGGAGGCAGCTGATGCAAATCCTAGAATGCAATAGGGTCTCCTAATGAGATATACCACTTACTAAGTGAGCTGCAGTACTCTGCACCAGTTGGAGTTTCCAGGTAGATTTTAGATGTATCCCCAAGTAGGGTTTGCCTAGATTAGGGAAGGACATCAATATTCGCTAGTCCCAATTTTTCACTAGTGTAGACACGTCTTGATTTAGGTGGTTGAAGTCCACCGTAAGCGCTCCATTATTTATGTTTTACGTGAGGTGTAGAACTGGTTGTCTTCAACCTAATGTTGGCATGTTAGTCCCTTTTGAATTGCTAGCTCTCACAAGATATATATATATACATACATACACACACACACACACACACACACACACACACACACACTC